CATCCCAGGTGTTTTATGTGGTGTTCACCAGGAGCGTCAAATTTGTGACAAAATTCTTAAATCATAACATACAAGTACAGTACAGTCTCAAAGCAGATCTGTGGAAGAGAAAAGTGTTGCAGTAAACGACCTATCCATGTGAGGAAACTGAGAATGAAATCAAAGAAGAAGAAGAGAATATCCCATGTTATGTTTTTGGATAACTTATAACTTGACTTGTTATCTTCAGTTTATCAACTGCCTGAATCAAGGGGATGTTCCACCTGCTGAAACTGGTGTGAATATTAGACATCCTGAAGAAAGATTCCATTTACGAATGTGTTGAGATCACACTTTCTCAATACAAGCACTTAATTCGCTGCAGTTACTGAGAAGTACAACGTTGTAGAAGCGAATGCTCCAATTAACACAGCCAAATGTGCCAGAACTGTTTTTTCTAAACATTAGAAAACGGCTTCAACTGTGAGCTTCTATCACTTCAGCTGTCAGCACACTTGAGCTTATTTAAAACCAACACGTTGGTCAAAACACTCTGTTAAATCAGAAATTTATCATTCAAATCATACAGCAATAAAATAAGCAAAGTAATTTTGTGCTGTTTCTATAATATATTGTTTTTGGCCACTTCTTCCCATCAACATGAAGACACCCCTTCCAACCTCGACAGCATGTGAAAGTCTCTTCAGCACTTCAGGATTGTTATTTAGTCCCAGAAGAACAAAACCTAACAGCAGCAATTTTGAAAATCAGCACTTGTTTAAGCTGAGCATGAAGTTTCACTATTCTGAAAATAAAATGATGTGGCAGTGTTTTTGGAGGAAAATGAGAATCTCTCCTGACTGTTTATAAGTAATTCTTCTGAGAATGACAAAATACATAAGTTGGCACACAGCTGCCATCTAACTTTACTTTCAAACTACTTTCATTGTTTTCATACCAGAAACGTGATGTTTTGAGCTGATTGCTCATTTTATTTTTGGATGTGCATATATCATATGGTTTGTGACATGGTTCTGAGAATCATTATGACTGGTGATATACAGAATATTCTACAATGCAATTCAATAGAAAATTAGTAAATGTGTAGTTGACGAATAACGCATGGGCTTTTTTTCCAACACTATAGTTTACAATTTAGATAAATGTATTTCTTTAAGTTTCTCACCATTTTTGGCCTTCGCTAGTTTCTATTAAATAGTCCTGCAGTGTGACAAATGAATTTGAAAGTAGTACAAATGCTGTATTAATTTGAGGTCATAAAAGCGAGTGCATGATAATTGCTGTTTAAAGTAGTTTTAGATGGAGTATGATACACTGCACAACATTCCCCGAAGTATTTCAACTACCCAAATATTATTGCATGATAATGGACATAATCCTCAACCTCATCATCATTCTGATGATACGCGGTTTGTTGTTATCATCTGGGACGGCCACATGGATCAGAATTCAAAGAATTACTCCCTGAGCTCCCAGCAATTGGCACCTGAATGAACCTCCTCATATAAACAACAATAAGGTTAATGATGGGGAGCAAAAGACCATGTATAACACAATAAATGTTTAAAATACAATATATAAAAGAGTTTTACACCAGTCTTGAGAACTTCACAGTCTATATGCAGAAGCATGCTGAAGAGAAAGATACCTACCTGGGTCTTCTTGTTTCCTAGGTGTTGTCTTTCTCTGTGAAATAAGAGAAGGGAGAGAATATCATTAACAGATTCTCTGCAATATGAACAAACTCAGCTATTATTATCTGTTTTTTTGCAACACTGGTAAAAAATATTGTCAAAATGAATTTACACACTGACAACGATTCTGTTATTCCTATTTAAGACTGCATTCTGTCAGTAAAATTAACATCAATTTAAATGAGAATAAAACACTTCAAACAGCATTATAAAATAATCTTCCAGTATGGATTCTTCCAAATATCGATAAAGAAAGATCATTTTACATTTCTGCAATATGAACACACTCAGCTATTATTATCTGTTTTTTTGCAACACTGGTAAAAAATATTGTCAAAATGAATTTACACACTGACAACGATTCTGTTATTCCTATTTAAGACTGCATTCTGTCAGTAAAATGAACATCAATTTAAATGAGAATAAAACACTTCAAACAGCATTATAAAATAATCTCCAGGATGGATTCTTCCAAATATCGATAAAGAAAGATCATTTTACATTACAGTCTGGAAATAGCATGTGTTATGTTTGAAGTGTACTGTATGGACAAACTATTTAGATTTAGATGAACTTGTCTGTGGTTTCACCTGTGCTTTTTGAACAGCAGCACCTGAAATCATGAGAGAGTAAAAGAAAATTTGTAAAGACAGCAAAAAGGCTGTACATGTACAATTCTGTGGCATTATTTAGAGTCTAAAGTTAAGACTATTATAGACCTCTCTAGCAAGTAAGTACAGTTGAATTAGTTGCCTTTCATCTAGAGAGCCACACTAAGGGAATATTCACAGAGCACACAATTCACACTTTTTTCTTTTATTTATTATAATTTATTTATTATGCTATTATTGTTGTTGTTGCTTTGTATTTCTTGCTTTGTATGTCAAGTTAAAAATAACACCTATATATATATATATATATATATATATATACTGTATGACATGAAAAAGAATCTGAAATCATCTGGGTGTAAATTCCAGGAATACATATAATTCTTTGAACAGTGAATTACGAAATGCTAACTTGGTTAATGCAGAGGCTCTTTATTGACCATTACCTGCCCTTCCACAGACTCCTAGTTTTCCAAGACAACCCTTATGAGCCCCATTTCCGCATTTAGGACAAAGGTAGCCTTGGTTAAAAATTCCCCTGAAGAGCAGAAGGATCATGGGGTCATGGAGTCAATGCTTCATTCATTTGCATGCATAGATGGCTATTACAGACCTCATGAAAGTTTTGTGGCTTTCAGTTTATGCCATTTAGCTTTAAAGGGATAGCTCACCCAAAATGAAAATTCTGACATATTTGCAGATTACTCATGTTGTTCCAAATTTGTAAAACTATTGTTCAACTTAAAAACACAAATGAAGATTTTAATAAACCCTAGGAGATTTCTGCACCTCCACTGAAAGTTAATGTAAACAAAACTTTGACGATTTAGAAAAAAAATGTATAAAAACATTGTAAAAGTAATCTGCAATGTAATGAATCTTACATTTAATCCAAGTCTTCTGAAGAGACATGACCACACTGTATGACGAATAGATTAAATTTATGATTTTATTTACATAAAAACACTGATCAATGCACATACATAGAGCTCATGAAATACAGCAGAACATACAGAAGCTCAACCCTACTTGCTTGACGGGCATATAAAGTGATCATGTCTATACAGAAGACTTGGACTACATCCTTCGAATTATGTGGACTACTTATTACAATCTTTGAATTACCAAAGTTTTGGTTACTTGGACTGTCAGTAAAGGGACAGAAATCTCACAGGTTTAATTCAAAATAGCTTAATTTGTGTTTTGAAGATGAACAAAATGGGTTTGGAACAACATGAGAGTGAGTAAATGATGACTTTTGTGTGAACTATCCTTTCAAAGTTGGCATGAAATGAAAATTCTGTTTTCTAAATGCATATTATGGATGCTTTTGTTAATAATTCATCCATGCATGAAAACAGAGACTTCTTCTAAACTTTAAGGCTACCAACATATCAAACGTATATTTTAGATGATTTATACAGATTTAAAATATGTTTTCTCTGACAAAAATGGAGCAAAATGTTTTATGTTGCATATTTTTCAACTAATTTTTGTCCAATAAAGTGAGACTGTGAAGGCACAGACAACAGGACAGAAAACTGATTTCACAGGGTCTTTAAACACCATATTAATGATCTGACTGGTTAATATCAGTTAATATTGACTAATTTATTCCAGCACACAAAAGGTCTCAGAAGTGCAAAGTCAGCTCACCTGAGAAGCATATGACAGGAGCTGCAGCTGGTGGCCCTCTCAAAAGTGTGCATCCTGAAGTGGTGAGAGTTAAATGTGGCATTCTCAGGCCGAATATTAGATCTGAAATGGGAAATCAGAAATATGGTAAAACAATGGTGCAAAGTTGGCTGACTGGAAAAATGAGCATATGACAAATTAACTGTGTGAGTTAAACTGCATGTTTAAGAGGCCAGATTGAACGGGGCCAAGCGTTGGTGAATGTTGTGGCCCACGGGGCCGGGACCAGACCTTCCGATTCCGGGCACGAATCAGAGCAGTGGGGAAGCTCTTTACCCAAACGACTCTAAGATTGATTCTTGCATCAAGAGTGCTGTGTGCATGCGGCAGGTGTAATTTGTTGTTTGAATGCACCCTTCACATCATCACGCAGTCAACCACACGTACTGTATACGTGAGTGTACAGAAATTCATTTTTAAAGGATGACATATAAATCAAGCGGGAGAGGAAACATCATTACAGACTCTCAGCACAAGGAACAGTGTATCCTCTTTAACCTACACAATTTCCAATTAGAGAGTTTTCCTCTCAGTCTCTTTTCATTTCTTCCAGTGTAAATACATTGTGCTGTCAAATCTCAACAGCATCCCAGGCGCAGGATGTCACCACATACTAGAACAGAGTAAGCTGCTTGACATCAAATGACATCATTATAAAAATGTTGAATGCCATATTGAATATAAGACAATGTGTGCAAACATTTCCTCTTTCTAACTTAAAAAAAAAAAAGATTCCTATTGTCATGTGCACTATTCTGTAATTTGCATTGACCAAAATTCCAGGGAGCTTTTAACTGCAGTGTGAAAGGTCACCTCAAATTTTCACATTTAAATATTTATTTAAAAATGAAATATCTGTCATTTAATCACCTTCATATAAAAGTGGTCCATTAAGAGATTGTAAACCAGAACAGATTTACCAGAAATTTAGGATTACATCAATTGCTCACCAAGAGATCATCTGCGGTGAATGGGTCAATTAATTAACATTTTGTGAAGTGAAAAACTGTGTGTTTGTTCGAAACAAATACACCATTAACGCATTTTAACTTTAAACAATCACTTTTGGTCAATAATACCATAATAATGTCCATAATACATAGTAATGCTTCCTTCAGTAAAAAAGTCAATCCGCTGTTGTCCTCTCACATCAAAATCCACTAACATATTTGTTTAAAATTGTTTTTGTTATATATCCCCTTGTGTTGGACTTTTATGTTCAAGTTGTGTTTCAGTTTCCTGTGTCAGATCTTGTCCCTATGTAGTCTTTTTGTTGATTGGTTCCCTTGATTGTCTTTCCAGATGTGTATAGTTAGCCCTGACCCTGTGTGTATATAAATACCAGTGTTTTTTGTGTTTCTTTCTTTTAATAAAAAATAAAAAGTAACAAAAATGCAAACTTCTGGCCCACACTCCAGTACAGTAGGTGGCAGAAATACACCTTAAATGTTAGTTGCCACCCACCATTAAAAAGAAGAAGATGATGATGATGATGATGTTGTTGTTCCTGGGTAGTTGTTGTCTTCTCTGTAGTTTGTGTTTGTATGCCTCTTTGTGTTATTGTTAGTCTATTTCAATAAAGTACCCCTTGCATTTAGTTCCTGCTTTCCTGCAATTCTGAGTTTGTCATCATCATTCTCAAGACTCCCCTAAGCATTTATTTTGTGGAGGGCTATAGGGCTAAAGCTCATGTAGCTTGGAGATCACAGATTTCACCCACCAGAGGCTGTTTCGGAAGCTCCCCATTTGCCTCGTCGCAGCTCCATCTTGGTCTCCAGCTCCACCGGCCCCACCAATTTGGTCTCCATCTCTGCCGTGGTGGTCTCCTTAACCCCAATGGTCTCCAGCTCCATCCTGGTGGTCATCTCCACCGGCGCCACCCTGGTGCTTTTCAGCTCTGTCCGGTTCATTTTGGACTCCAGCTCCACCAGCCCCACTATGGTGGTTTTCATCTCCACCCGATCCACCATGGTGGTTTCCATCTCCACAGTTGTGGTCTTCTGCTCCGTCCTGGTGGTCATCTCTGCTGGCTCTGCTGTGGTCACAATCTCTGCCGTGGTCCCCAGCTCTTCCTTGGCTCCCTGCTCTACCTGCTCCACCCTGGCTCCCCCCTCTTAGCCCTTGTATATAAAATCCAGTGTGTCTTATATTCCTGGTTGGTTGTTGTCTTCTCTATGGTTGTCACATGCGTTCACATTATGTTCAGCTGGTTTTCCTTGGTTTCTCGTGTTCATATCCCTCTTTGCATTATTGTTAGTCTAGTTCAATAAAGTACCCCTTGCATGCATCTGCTTTTCAACCATTCTGAATTCACAGAGTGTTACAGTTTTGGACTGTTTTTGCCTGTAAACGTTGCTTGATCTGTGCATATTTCTCCCCTGATTCAGATGACATTTTTCCTGGAGAAAGCAATCTTATGGACAGAGGACTATTAAGCCGGAAGCAATGTTTTGAAAACGACGGATTTGTTTATAACAAACTTTGTTTTGAGCTTTTCACTTCACTGGAGTTGTGTGGATTGCTTGTGGATTATTGTGATGCATTTATCAGCTGTTTGAACTCTCATTCTGACGGCACCCACTCACTACAGAGGAGAGAGAAACAAACTCGTATACATCTTGGATGGCCTGATGGTCTGTTTACAGCAAATTTTAATTTTGGGGTGAATTTTTCCTTTAAATTAATTGGTTGATTCAGTTAACAAGTTGTATGTTTCTTAAATGATTTGAAAGAGATGGACCCAATGATTCGGTTAACAGCTCAGTGGAGAGGAAGATTATTACTGAACTGACTTCAACTTAAACTTTTATGCCTTCCAAAACCTTTTGTGTTTTTTTTTTTCAATTTGAAATCTCTGGTTCTTCTTTATTGACATTGCACATACAAGAGCAAGACAAGATTTCTCCTTTTGAATTCCACTGAGCAAAGAAAATCATTCAGGTATGGGACGACATGAGGGTGGTGACAAAATTGTGATTTGGGGTTTCAAACTCACATGGCCATCTCAAACTGGTCCAGCCATTTCTTCTTCAGATCTTTTGTCTTGAACAGGAACTCAAATCCACTCTGCCCCTGCTGGTGAGTGAGGTAGAACCCATAGCACCACTGCCAGAGGACAAGACAAATAGCAAAATAACTGCTTAAAAATGCAAATTAGACTTACATGTAAAGATCTAACTTTTAAATATGGATATACGTTAAGAAATTTTGTAAAAAAAAAAAGACACAAAGTCGCTGTAATATTAAGGGGTTATGGTGTTTGGTTTAAAGCTGTGATGGGTGATGGCAGTGAGGGTTGTTAGGTAAGGGAAAAGGGGGCCGTTTTATTTTACACAGCAATATACAGCCAGCGGCAACCTTGGAGGAGTGGACATATTCATCACTATTACCATTCAGTGTGTATGTGAAAATGTGTGTGCTCGTGTGTAAGTTTGTGTGGCGTTGCATGTATGCACACTACTGAGGGCTATGTTACAGCATCTCACCCTAGCCGCTAACCAGTCCAGTGTGTTATTGTTAACTAAAGCTAAAGCTATTAAATGTTGTTATTGGTAATTGAAATAAAATCAAATAAAATATTTCCGTTAATGGGGGTGGGTGGACCCTTTGTATCAGCCAATTTATTTATAAACTAAATACAGACAAGACATTTTTTTCCCTCATCATTGAAGCCCTAGTATTTCTAAAATATAACCAACAAGCAAACCACAGATTGTGTCATCAATATTACTATTACAAACTTTTCTTTCCTCCAAAATTATTGTTTTGAGCATTTTAGAATGTGACAATATTTATAAAAGTTATTCATGATGGTTGTTATGAAGTTTCACTATATTCCTACCGATATTTAATGTGTCAAAGTCTGTGTGCATGTGTTTTGGAGACATTTGGCAGTTGTGTACAGGTCTTGTCAAAGACGTGAAGGAATAAGTTCCATCAGTGTATTAAAGGGATAGTTCACCCAAAAATGAAAATTCTGTCATCATTTACTCACCCTCATGTCGTTCCAAACCTGTATGAGTTGCTTTCTTACGTTGAACACAAAAGAAGATATTTTGAAGATTGCTGGTAATCAAACAGTTGGTGGTTGCCATTGACTTCCATAGTATTTTTTTTTCCTACTATGGAAGTCAATGGCAACCACCAACTGTTTGAGTACCAGCAATCTTCAAAATATCTTCTTTTGTGTTCAACATAAGAAAGCAACTCATACAGGTTTGGAACGACATGAGGGTGAGTAAATGATGACAGAAATTTTCATTTTTGGGTGAACTATCCCTTTAAGTGTGTGTATGGGTCCTGAGGAGGGGCAGAAAGGCACTTCAAACAGAAAAGCCAGCGGGTCTTTGCCTGGCCAAGGTCTCCTTGAGACAGATTTCACCAGACCATCTGTTCAGAAGAAACCTTCCTTTTGGTGAAAGGCATAAAAGAGAAAAAAATATCAAAAGTTTAAAGACATATCCACATTATTTTTACATCTGTATCACTACTGCCAAGCCCAAAAAAACATCAGAAACCAAAGGTAACCTGAGGTTGAGCTGTCCACCTTTACAGACTGAAAAACACAGTTCTAAAACCTCTATACACAGTACGCTTACTATGGCCACTTCTGATTCACGTGACATGGAATACACTGCACAATGAACACAGACTTTAGACTGTGTATTGTCAAAAGCCTTTCCAGTCTTTCCACAGTGGTTGGTTCAGCATGCAGTATTTGACTTGACATGCTGCAGCAATCCGTCACCATCCATCAAGCCTCATAAAGAGCAGTAACATCTGTCTGTCACAGTCTGCGATGGGCTCTCCAGCCTGATCTTAGTAACACTCAAAATTACAGACTAAGGGACAGATTGACTTTTTGTTTTAAGGCCTGGCTGTTAATAATCCCAGGTTGTTGAATGAGGAATGACTCATATGTTGACTCACAATTGACTCACAAATGTTTTGTATAAAGTGTGTGTGTGTGTGTGTATATATACAGTGGTGTGAAAAAGTGTTGGCCCCCTTCCTGATTTCTTTTTTTTTTTGCCTGTTTGTCACACTTTAATGTTTCAGATCATCAAACAAATTTAAATATTAGTAAAAGATAACACAAGTGAACACAACATGCAGTTTTTAAATGAAGGTTTTTATTATTAAGGGAAAACAAAATCCAAAACTACATGGCCCTGTGCGAAAAAGTGTTTGCCCCCTAAACCTAATAACTGGTTGGGCCACCCTTAGCAGCAACAACTGCAATCAAGCGTTTGCGATAACTTGCAATGAGTCTGTTACAGCGCTGTGG